TCAGTGTTTCAAAATGTAGAGATAGCATTACGGATCTATGCAAGCACAGCTATTTTAAACTGTTCAGCTGAAAGATCGTTTTCTTGCCTTAAAAGAGTAAAAAATTATTTAAGAAACAGATCTTTATAAGAAAGACTTTGTTCTCTAGCAGTCTTAAATATTGAAGGAGAACTGCTGAACGCCCTGGACTTGACTTCTGTTATTGATTCTTTTGCTAGGTTAACAATCAAGAAGGAAAGTGTGAACAAAATACTTACTACTGTACCAAGCTTAACTAATTTAAAATTGTATATTATTCTTTCAGTAAAAGTACGTAATTTTTTCTTTTCGATTCATGTGTTTTTTGTAAATAAAAATATTGTATAAGTAAACATATTTCTTTCATTTCAAATCAAAGCCAATAGCACGTGTCTCAAGTGGATCTGACTAAAAGTGATCAATGAAAAGCGTTATAAGAACCATTGTATACAGACGATGTTGTGTGCCATTTTACGCCGCAAAATGGGATTGTAAAAATATTGATTAGATAAAAAAAGTGGCATTCCTTGTCTATCCAAGTCAGAATGTTTTGCATAAAAACGACGCAAAAAACGCCCGTTGAAAAGGGGTCAAAAAAGTTATTAAATTTGTTGATGCAGCATGCAATATTACCGATTATTTTTATTTTCTACAAAATCAGCTGACAGGGCATTTAGGTCTATTGGCCATTGGGGTGATATTAGTGAGGTCGGGGAGTGTGCTGAAAAGTGGGAGGGGGGAGCGGCGACAAACTTTGTTGCCTAGAGGCGGCAGAATCTTAAATACGTCCCTGCATTGGGCTAATGATACACATGGGGACCGTAAGTATCAATAGGTTCAACGATTACTGGAATAAGTCCAGATATTTTGACTTCCAATTTGTACTAGAGCAAATGTCCAGAGACCGATTTTTGATCCTATTACGATGCCTGCATTTCAGTTAGAAGATGCTGTAAATTGCCAGAGAGATCGTTTACATAAGATAAGACTCCTGATTGATGAGTTCAACACCAGAATGGATACTGTATATTACCTTGGGAAAGAACTGTCTTTGGATGAAGGGACTATCCTATGGCAAGGATGACTGCAATTCAGGCAGTACATCAAAGAGAAAAGACAAATTCTGGCAAAGGAGGGGAGTTGGGAAAGGGCATGCTGCCAAAGTAGTGAAGCTTCTTATGCGACATAAACTAAATGCTGGCCATTCCATATATATGGACAACTATTATATGAGTTTCCCACTCACGTCCTTTCTGCTCACAATCAGGACCAAATGCACAGATACTGTACAATAGACTCGTAAACACTCTCTACTAGGTGACATCTACTAAGCTCAAACAAGGTGAGCATATCGTGCTTTATGCTGAAGGGATCGTATTCGCAAAGTGGCATGACAAACGCTCAGTTCTCAACATGTCGACTGAATTTGAAAAAACTAAATTGTGAAAACCACAAACGAACGGAAGGTGCAGCAACAGTACAATGCCCACATGAAGGGAGTTGACAGGAATGATCAACTCATCTCATACTATCCTTGTGACCACAAGAGCTTGAGGTGGTACAAGAAAGTTTTTCTGCTCGTCATCCAGAGGCTAATCATTAACTCTTACAAACTTTATCAGTGTGCCAATCCGGATTCCAAGAAGTCCCTCTACCACTTCAGACTGGACATCCTGGATCTATCACTCGCTCCAAAGACTGGACCATCACCGAAACGACCGAAAAAGATTACCAACGTCATTCACGTACTGTCAAAATCTGACAAGCGAACATCTGATGGATCAAGATTTCTACGACGAAGACGCCAGGTGTGTTCAAAGGAGGGAAGATTTACCCGCACAGTGTACTTTTGTGCTCAGTGCCAAACATTAGGGACCTCACTATTAAGCCCCTGAATAAGTCCCGACAAAATATCCCAAATACGAGATACATGGACCTCAAGTCTTTGTGTGAAGGAAACACTCCTGTCATACGAATTGATGACCACAAGAAGTTCTTCACTCAATTAATAACCGAATAAATAACAATCACTAATGAACAAAATCAGCCTTTCCTCCTAGTTGTAATGTATTTATTATAGTAACAAAAACTGTACAATGTAATCAATGGCTTACTGTAATCTATATCGCAAAATAAATGTGATTGGCCAACAGCCTATCCCCACTCCTACCCAGGGTCCTGAGCAGCCAGTCCATCATACTCTATCCTGACTCTTTTTTCCGGTATCTCATCTCGTTCATCGGGACTCCTTCCTTGACCATGTTGGACCGTCATAAGTCTAATAATAACCGTGTTGTTATTTCTACCTAGGTTACCCCAAAGATTAGCAAGGCGACGAGGTACAACATAAAGTTGTGCAGCAAGTTTAGCGCAGAAAGTATTTCGCTAGTAGCGCGATATTGTGTGCAGATCTACATATACGGATCACCAACATGAAGACGACGGTACGAGTGACGCCTCGCCATTTTGGACCACGTTGACGCTGAGACCAGAATCTAATATGTCTGGCATAATAGGAAGTTTAGGGGAGTTTGACTCTAGTTGTGAGACTTGGGAGGCGTATATTGAGAGATTCAAACTATTTTAAACGTGTAATAACATTGAGGATAAAAAAGTGTGTACATTGTTGACAGTAGTGGGTGTAAAAACGTTCAACTTACTAAGGGATTTGTGTACGCCCGAAAAACCATAGACGAAGACTTACGACAACCTTGTGAAATTGATTGGTGACCACATGTATAATACAAAATGTATGATACAAAAGATCCTTCAAATTTTCACCCTATAGCTTTACTGCCGGTAGTCTCCAAAATTTTTGAAAAAGTTGTCTATAATCAGCTTGTGGAATATTTGGAAAACTACGATCTCATAGATAGTGTTCAACATGGCTTTCGTGCCAACAAATCAGTTACTACTGCTGCTGTGGATTTTATTGAATCTATTATTGAATCAGCTGATAAAGGAGAAGTTTGTGTAGGAATTTTCATGGATTTGTCAAAAGCATTTGACACTGTTCATCACCCTACACTCTTGCATAAGCTTAAGTCACTTGGTGTGCATAGAACTGCAGTGAAGTGGTTTGAGTCATACCTGTCAGGAAGATTTCAATACGTTGAATTAAGTCATACGGAGTATAAAGTTTCAAAAGAAAAGTCAAATTTAAAATTAGTAACACATGGTGTCCCCCAGGGATCTGTGTTAGGCCCACCCCTCTTTATCTGCTATGTACAAAATATTGCACAAACACCCAAAAAAATACCACAAGACAACTTGGTGATGTATGCTTATGATTCAAATCTGAAAGTGTCAGCGCAAACTGCCGAAGATGTTGAAATCCTATCTTGCCTAGAGTTGGCTAATTTAACAGACTTCTTTAACAATCATAAATTAAAATAATTTTGTTTCCTTTAAGACTGCTCAGTGCAGGAGAAAGTTTGAACCCACAATTGCAATTGACTCTAAGCTAATAGAAATTGAAAGTCTACTAGATTTTTGGGGTTGGAAATGGATGAGAATTTGAACTGGAATCGTCATGTGGAAAAAAATCCTTCCTAAAATTAACTCAGGAATATTTGCCTTACGCAGAATGTCATATTTATGCACTGATGTAAGTGTGTTAAAAATGATATATCATGCGCATATTCATTCCCATATTTCATTTGTCTTGGCTGTGTATATGGGTCAACAAAAAAAGAAAACTTGAAGAATTTTGAAGAAACAAAAGGAAGCTGTCAGAATAATTCTCAATTTGAATCCTGAAGAATCAGCAAAAGAGTATTTCAAAAGTTAAAAAATATTAACTGTATATGGACAATATATTTACGACACGGTCTTAATAGCAATTCATAATCCATTAAAACAGAACATTGTGCAGTCTCACCGATATAACACGCGGGAAAAAATACCGTCATACCCACTTATCACAGATTAGCATTTTATGAAAAAAACCTTCATATATTGGAGCAAAATACTTACATAGACTTTCTATCGCGTTAAAAACTGAAAATAACATCAATAAATTTAAGAAGATGTTGAAAAATTACCTTTTTCACAAACCACTGCACTCGTTTGAGGATTTTTTAAACTTTTAGTCATAGTCGTAGTATTAAGTTTTGATTTGACACTATTCTCATGTACTATGTGTGCATATTGTGAATAAAGATGATTTGACTTTGACTTTGTATCCAAAACCTAATGCAATTGCCGAGCGCTATAAGTTTAGTTTAGTTTTAGCGGAATTAGCAAGAAGGATAGACTATAGCTCAGTATGTTTTAGATATAAGTTTTTAAATCATTTAAGATCAAGGTTCCTGTTATTTATTCTATGACTATGTTCAATATGCTTTAATGATAAGATACCATTTGACAATGTCAATTGCTTTTGTAGAGCTGAATGACAATAAAGAGATTTGATTTGATATGTAGCAAGTTTAAAAAACTTTCATCTCATTGCGATTTCGGTAACAATCTAAACGAGTACCTAAGAGACAGAGTGGTAGGCGGAATTCATAATGAACATACAAAACAGCGGTTGTTAGCAGAGACCGGCCTGACCTTCGAAAAGGCAGTATCGATGATAGCTTCAGTGGAGACATCAGAGAAAGACGCAGCATCACTTTATACCAATGCAGACATCAGCGGTAAGCTACAGAAAATGACAGTCCGACCAAAGGGAGCAGCAGCATCAGCGCCAAGGGATGGAGAGCAGCATGGAATAAACAAGCAGGCAGCACAGACATTCCATCAGACACAGTTTAATCGTGGGATCAACAACAGAAGTGATAAGAAGTGTAACTGTTGTGGTTATGTAGGACACTATAGTCGTGAGTGTAAATATTATGGTGCAGTTTGTCATTTCTGTAAGAAGAAAAACCATTCAGCAAAAGTTTGTAGATCTCGATTGGGTAATATAGATAATACTAAGGTATAGTATATAGATAGTATAGTATAGATGATACTAAGGTATTTATCGTATTTTGTAGGTTTCCACTGAAAGCGTAACAGCCATCCAAGGAGGCGTGGTGGGAAATAACGGATTTGATGAAGTTCTAGTCACAACATATACTGGTGAGTGCAGTTCTGGGCAGAACCAACAAAGATGTCTGTTTAAAATGTATGATTCAGGAATTATCATCGTTGAAGAATCTTTGGAAAAAGTGAAAGATATAGAGTATTTTACAATCGTATCAATGTAAGTGTATACTCTCTGTGGTCTGGTATTTAATACTAAACACAATTTCTTTTAAACAACTGAAGAGTATTTTCCCTGTTTCTATTTTTTTTATCAACTCATACTACATATTTGAATAGGAATCAAAACGTTAATCTCTTTACCAAATGTTATTCACTACCACAATACTAAAGACTGGTTCAACATTATTATACAGAATAATTGTATATTAGATGTAAAAAAAGTACAGTGTTAAGATATTGTAATTGTATGAGTTTATTTTTATGTATATTTCATCTTTGAAATTCTTGACTTATCTCACACCACCATGTGGTCAATTAAAACGAGGGAGAAGTAAGGAGTAAGACAGTTTGTAACTAATGTATTATTTATTTCAAGGTTGGTTTTTTGGATTGACAACAGAAGTAATTGACAAACAAATGAGTGGAGAGGGTGGAGACTTGAACACCAAAGTGAAGATTTCAAATGACGACAAGCTAAAAATTGTTCGGCTAAGGTATCAACAGTTAACATACCACACATTAACATACATTACGCACTGTGAATTGTTTTCTGTGGTTGCACTGACAATAGAGAATCATTGCACTGGAGAATTGGTAATAGTAGTAGGGAATCATTGCAATTGCTCACCAAGAAATGATGTCAAAGATATAAGGAATCTAGGTATTTAAAGACACTTAGGGTTACCGTAGTGATGTATTTAAAGCTGACATAGCCTAAGTGACGTCATTTGATGACATGACCTGATTACACGGGAGAATATGACAATCACAAACGACCTTAAGTGGAGACTTATTCACTTAAATAAGTCCTCTAGATCTTTTGATGCAGTTGGTTTTTTGTTTTTGAGACCTGGAGGTTTAGCAGAACAAGTGATGTGGAAAATATTGATGGGGAAAACTACAAGCTGAAGATAACCTTTGCAGAAATACATAACGGCATTAAAATAATTTTGATGGACTTGCCTATCGTCACTTAACGAACAATACCGGCTGGCTATCTGCAAATTTTGCCAAATCCGGATTTTGAATCCAACACATTCTATGGGCAACTCCGCCATGGAACTACTTGGGTTAGTTTTCAGTTTTAAATCAATAGATGGTGCAGTCATATTGTTTCCAGCAATACCGGTAAACTGGTTTCTTCCAGAAATACCACCCATCTGTTAGGTGACTGTTGGACTCTCTGCTAACTAGCGTCTAGACTGCCAGTGCAAGTCTGAGGATCGGAGGATCGTGGATCAGATCAGTACTCAGTAGATCACCCCCAACCATCGCACCATGTCGTACGCTTCCGAATCATACCGGCGCATCAGCATAGCTTATCTAACTGTTCGCGGAAAATTGTTATCTGTATCACTGTCGCTGTCAAAACGTATAATTTGTAGATTAAATATGAATTAAATATAATTAAACTATCATAACCTAACCAATCTTGCTGATAATGATAAACTCGAATGAAGGTTTACTAATCGAAAAATAGCTAAAAATAAAATTATAAATGTCTCAAATTCAATTTTTCAATCTTTTAATTATAAAATTAAACTGTCATAACCTAACCAAACCAACCAAACTTGCTGATATGAAAAAAAATTGTAGACAAAAATTAGTGCTCCCGGTGGGATTCGAACCCGGCATCTTCAGTTTATCAGCCCGACACGCTATCCACTACACCACAAAGGCTCATGACTCAGTTCCGTATCGTTGCAGTGATGGTTGACGTCACGCCATCGGCACTAAGCGGTGGTGGGGGGTTTTTCGATCTGATCCACGATCCTACCGATCCTAGGAGTTGCACTGGCAGTCTAGATGCTTATTCTCTGCTAAGCAACAGGTAAGCTCTGATTATCACTTTCTTTATCACATTTAAATGCATTGTTACTTATGTACTTGCAGTTATACCATTCATGGAATAGTCACGTGACTTATTTTGTTTAAGTTATTGTATTTTTAAATTAGAAAATACTAAAACTGGCCATAATTAAATGTGTATGTAGATAAAGTAGACTCCCTCTAGTTCGGCCTCGGTTGGATCGGCCGTCGGATGGTTCAGCCGGTCTGAGAAATGAGTGAAACTCCCTCTTGTTGGCCGCGGTTGGATCGGGCGCCGGATAGTTCGGCTATTATCAGAAGCGTGGGAGTCATGTCAGCTACATCGTCGCGCCACTAGTGACTAGTGACTAAACTTCGACAGGATTCAACGCGAAAAGTTTAGTTTCCGCCCCATTGTCATTTAAGGAAACATCGTTACTGTAGTATGAGTTACAAGTTGTTCATGTACCTGTAGTGTGTTAAGTGTGTTCGAGAAAATTTTTTTCTAAAATGTCTGAAAAACTAAAACATACTTTTGTTGTAAAACATACTGTAGAGCGCCTGGATAAGGGCGAATCTGTCCACAGCATTTGTAGAGAATTTAATGTCGGTGAGATAAGCAGTCCAATTTTAAAGGAGAAGGCAATAATTCTTCATGGAAAACTGGAAGGAAAAGACACTTTCACAGCAAGTGATGGCTAGTGGTGATCATTTGTCCCTGTTGGAACAAAGCAAAAACTTGAGCCAATTGCATGCTTGTGGCATGAGGGAATATCTGGGAGAAAGAAAGAGGATATTTCGAGTAAGACTTCCTTGAATTAAACGTAGATGCAAAAAAATTGTTACCTGGCTTGACAAATGCTCTAGCCAGAACAAAATTTGGGCCCTGTTTTCCCACCCTGTAGGAGCAGTAAACTCCAATGAAATTCAAGCAACTTCAATTGAGCTCAGTTACCTAGAGCCTGGTCACACCTTCATGTCTGCAGACCACTTCCACCACAAAGTCACTCAACCGGTATGAACGTCTACTTTCATAGATACCTTTCTAGGCTAATTAATTAAGCATGTAAAAAGTAAATTTTCATTTTAAATTTTTTATACAAGCATAAATATTTATTGCACTAGTGTTGATATTAATTTAAATATATATGTTTCAATTAACACAAACTTTTTTTACAGGTAAAAAACAAAGGAAAGTTTATGACTTCGCAGAGTTTGAAGAGGGTGTGCAAAAATCGTGTTCTAGGAAGATTAAAGTTAAAAGTCTGCAAACAACTGATTCTTTCTTTCCTTTCGTCCTTATATAAAATCATGGAGTAATATCCCCGGCCTTACCTGAGTGATTTGGTTCAGGTAGTTTTTATGAGAGGCAGTTTGGATCTCTGCTTCAAAAAGAGGTCTGCAGAAGAAAGTATTGAAGTGTCAATTCTAAAATCGGGATACTTGAAAAGAAATCAGTCCCTAAACCAGAAATAAGGGAAAGCAAAAGGGAGATTAACCAGCTCAAAAAAGCAGATATAATCTCTAAACTGGTTCCCCTTATGCCCCGAAACTGGCATGAGTTAAGGCTGAACCTTCAAACAAGAGATGAACCTGACCTTGTGACAGAAATTGATGACTGAACTATGAAGAAAGTGTTTATATGCTGCTGTGATTTTACTTTGTTGAATTTATGCAAACAAATGGACAACCCTTAGACGTAAATTTCAGACATATAGCCAACATTAATTTATAATACCAGTGAACTATGAACCAGTGAATTTACGAGTTACCAGTGAATTTATGCAGATGAACAATCCTTTACACAAGGATTATTCCTGACATAGTCCACCTTATGTTATATCAAATATTTTTATGTTATGTTACGTAACTACTGAATGAACAACTGATTTTTAAGCCAAAAAACAGTATCTGCAGATTTTAAGCCAGAAAACTACATTGTGGATACTGTAAGCTTAGAGAACTGTTACGGTTTTCTTGCTTAGAAGACACTAAAATGACTTACAGTAACTACAAGTATTTAAATAAAATACATATCCTGAGGTTAAAAATAAAGTGATATTTAGATTCTAAAGAAAACATATATATGAATGATCATCAAAAAACACTAAACCAGCTGTATCTCAAAATCACCCAGACTGCAGTTACGGTTTTCTTCCTTATCAGGACAGATCTGGAAAGAAGAGTTCCTACAAGGTGATTTTACTGGTACAGCTGTTTAAGGAGGTCAGACAAACTTTTCAAGTAATTTTGACCGTGCAAGGTGAAGGAAAAAAGGTCAGATCTGAATCACTTGGTTTAAGTGTGCAAATTCAACAAAACAGTTTTATGTTCTATCTTCATGCAATGGAAAACATTTTAGGAACCACGTATATTTTGTCCAACAACTTCAATAAAAAGATTTGGACTTGTCAGCTGCAGTGGCCCTAATTAAAGCCACTCGTAAAAGATTTGTTGATACAAGAACTGACAAGGCAGTCAACAAGATTATTGTCAAAGCAAAATCTTCAAGCGTAAAGTGTGGGATAGAGTGGTCTCAAGAAAGGAAAAAGAAACGAAAACAACTATCCCTATGAAGTTACAAAGTGATGTGGTATATTCCAGCTTGGGACAAAACCAAAGAGACACTCCAACTAGTGAAGAAGACCAACCTGAAATCAAACGGGTATATTTTGAAATCATCGACCAAATTATCCCAGAGCTTGACCATTAGTTACTTTGTCCCTTTGGCAGCGAAATGCTTTAAAAAGGATAGTGAATCATGTCTAGAATATAATAAACTCGAGCCTTTCTTGGACTACTACGTAGGGCCGTCGCGTGGGTGGGGCGACCGGGGCGCCGCGTAAGTGGTGGCTTGGAGGGCACCACTGCCAGGGGAGCGCCGCGACAAAAGTGATACAACAAAATTGAAAAAAAATTAATTTAGATGTACATAACGTAATTTGAAAAGTTATGTATGACTGAATTTTTAATATTACGTTGTATACATTTTTTTAACAAATACAAATTATTTGATACCGATAACTTTATATATTTTCAAAGTTTTCCCAGATAAACATTATATAAAAATGAAGTAGCTAGATTTGCTTGTTTACTACTTAGTTTGGTAATAACAGCCTAATAATGAACTCAACTGTGGAGTTGAAGGCCCTAGCCCAAATTCATTATCTTAATATAAATCAATATTGCAAAGTCGCAGTGTCGCTCTGTCCGTCTGAAGGCCTTTCACACGAGTAGACTACTAGCCTAGCTGCCGTGTTCTATTTTTATTTCACCCGACTACCCTCCCCCACTTCCGTCTCTGACGTCGTGACGATGACTCACGGTAGAGACAATGACCTCAACTATGTACGTGATGACGGGATGCCCATCCCCCACCACCGCCACTACCCCACCACTCCTTTACGGCAGTCTTCGCTCGGCTGTCAGCTTAGTTTGTGAGGTTATGTGAATATTGTTGTGTCCAATATGTCCAAAAAGTTAACGGGTGCACAGCGGAGAAAATTGAATAAAGAAAGTGAATTAGCCCGGGAAGTGTTACTGTCCAAAGTGCCGAAACTAACAAGTTATTTTAATACTTAATCTGCAATCCCAGCGGCAAAACCCAATACCGTCTGTGACCTGCCACTGTCAGTAGGCCTACCAAGTACGAGTTCTCAAGAAGCAAGCACTAGCGGAGAAGTGTCTACCCTTCCTACAGACATTGACTTTGAAACTGAAATCCCAGATAATAACCAAGATGAAGAGGTAAATTTAGAGCCTAAGACTGACAATGACAGCAGAATTAGCAAACATATTGATTGCTTGGCTTTGTCTGGAGATCCAGCGACATGGCCAGATTGCATTCTAAATGAACAGCGTAATGACCTAATTTTAAAATATCCTGCTGAAATTTCCATGGAAGATTATCAGTATCCAAAAAAATTACGATAAAAGACATTTTTCAAATGGCTTTCGATTTCGTTTAGCTGAAAACGGCGAAAAAGTTCTTAGACGTTGGTTGGTTTATTCAGAAAAAAATGATTCGGCTTACTGTTTTTGCTGCAGGATTTTTGACCCATCCTCAAAATCACAGTTTGGGCAAAAAATGGGTTTTAATAATTGGAAACACATGACTGAGAGGTTGAAATCTCACAAAATGTCTCAGGATCACTTTAAATACATGGTCCAGTGGTGCACGGCTGAAAATAGACTCAAAGGGGGTACTTCAATTAACCAGGAAATTATTAATCAAATCAACACTGAAGCACAGCGCTCAGAGGAGGTGTTGCGACGGATAGTCGAAATTACTTTGTATTTAGCAGAGCATACCATAGCGTTTCGAGGCTCGTCTTCCAAGTTATTTACAAAAGACAATGGCAATTTTCACGGTCTTGTACAACTATTAGGGAAGTTTGATGCAGTTTTAATGGAACATTTACGCAGAATATCCAACCGAGAAAGTAACTTTCACTTGTTAAGTGTATCGAGTCAAAATGAGATTATTAATATGTTAGGCAATGCAGTTAAGGAAAGCATCATAAACAAAATAAAGAAAGCCAAGTATTTTTCTGTAATTTTCGACTGCACTCCGGATATTAGCCGCAGAGAGCAAACATCTCTAATGATCCGCTATGTTAATGAAGAAAATGATGAAATTAACATAGAGGAGAGTTTTATAGCGTATCGAGTAGCTGAAGAAACCTCCGGTAAAGCTCTCACTGACCTTATGTTTAACGAAATTGCCAAATGTGGACTAAACATGAAAGACTGTCAGGGCCAGGGGTACGATAATGGTGCCAATATGGCAGGTATCCACAAAGGAGTTCAAGCTCGTGTACTAGCAGATTTCCCTCTGGCTTTATTATGCCTTGTGGATGCCTTAGTCTGAACCTGGTAATTGCTGATGGAGCAAAATCCTCGGTCAAATCTACATCTCTATTTGGAACACTCCAGCGTATTTGCAGGCTCTACAAAGCGTTGGTGTGTGATAAGTGAACACGTTAAGGATCTCACGCTAAAACAAGTATGTGAAACACGATGGGAAGCCCGCAAATCTTCGGTGCAAGCGGTTCGCCATCAGTACGTTGAAGTGCGGGATGCGTTGATAGAACTGAATGAGAAAACGGACGACCCTAAGACAGCGAGTGAGGCTCATTCCTTAGTCAACCAGATGGAAGACTTTTCTTTCATAGTATGTTTACTACTATGGCATTATTTGCTTTTTGAAATAAATATCATAAGTAAAAGTCTTCAAGGGAAATCCAAAGGCGTCAGTGATGCTGTCAGTAAGTTCAATAATTGCTTGGACTTCTTAGACAAATTTAGAGAAGATGGATTCACAAATGCAGTAATTTCCGCAAAGGAAATTGCTGAAGAACTCTAAATAGAACCAGTCTTCCCTGAAACCAGAATTCGCAAGAAGGAACGTCTCTTTTTGTACGAAAGTGCGAACAACGAAGTGCAAACATCTGCAGAAGACACATTCAAGAGGGAAGTATTTTATTCATTGGTTGATACAGTTATAACTTCAGTTAAATGTAGGTCCACTGCACTTTATAATCATAACTCGCAGTGGGGTTTTTTGTATAACTTGGCTAATCTTCCACCAAAAGATGATTTGAAACAAAGTTGTTCGCAATTAGAAACTCTCTTAAGAAATACTGAGGGAGTATCAGATATCAACGGGAATGAACTTTTTTGTGAACTATAACACGTGAACTCCATCTTGGATATCAATGAACGGGAACGCCAACTTCAGCAAGTTCGACCAATTGACGTGTTGCGAGCAATCAAGAAAACGGACAGCAAATATTTATTTATAAATCTCTGGATTGCACTGAGAGTTTTGCTAACCACACCAGTGTCAGTTGCGAGTGCTGAGCGTAGCTTCAGTAAGCTGAAACTTATCAAGACATATCTAAGATCATCCATGTCACAGGAGAGACTGAACTCTCTTGCCATCATGTCAATTGAAAACGATGAAGCTAGGAAAATAGACTTCAAAGACATTCTCAAGACATTTACTCGTGCAAAATCCAGGCGAATGCCATTTAATGTTTAGGTTAGGGACTAGGGTCTTATTTCAGATTTCTAAATGTAATAACGTGGTTTTATTTTATTCTGTCTTTCTGTAAATTCTATTCAGAATAGGTCTGGTTTGAGGTTTTGTTTACCATTGTATTGATTTCTATTGGCACTGTATTAATTAATAACATGTATAGTAATTTTTAAGGCCTTAATATTTTCTTACATTAATTGTATGGATTTCATTATCATCTATTAAAGGTTTTTCTTATAAAATGTAAGTAGTTTAATCCATGATTCCTGACTCTAGTATTTTTAAAAGGTTATTCAACCCGCCACGTAACTTTGTATAACGATCATCACTCATCGTGTGTTTGAGGAGGGGGCGCCTGACAACCTCTCGCCCCGGGCGCCAATAAACCACGCGACGGCCCTGCTACTACGGTCAATTTATTGACTTGGGTGTAATCAAACTACAGTTGCCACTTGCCAAAGACACACATATCATTTTCTTTTAGGATTGTGTTCTTTCATTTTTGAATACTCTGAAGGTTCTGCCAGTGACTCTGAAGTTATCAAAGTTCTGCTATCGTTCGCTCTTTACCCATCACAACTGCTGAAAATGAAAAGTTCTTCTCCGTCATGAAACACTTCCTAAAAACAACAACAACCAGTGATGTTGATGACAGTGAAAAGAGAAGAAGTAAAAAAAAATTAACCTGAATCAACTGGTGAACGATATTTTTAATACAATTCAAATTTCAATACGATAACATGCGTAGAATTTGAATTATATCCAATAAAGTGAACGACTGCAATTACCAGGTTTGGAGGCAGTCTGGAAAAGCTCAGGGAGGGATAATTGGGAACTTTTCCAAAATACACTTCTTAATTGGTTCTATCACATGTAAAAAATCCAGCTTTTCACTATTTAGTTACAAAAAAAGTCAGTTTGTGCATTTATTGCAGTGGCTAGATGCGACAACGAGAGGTGTTCAACTAGCCTGCACACGCTATCTTTGCCGACGCCCAGCTCTTCATCAGTTCACCTAGATGACCAATAATTTATTTGAATAACTTGAAGAACATACTAAAACTTTTGTTTGAACCATATTTGTGTATTATTTCTATTTAAAAGTATATAGAGAGAACAACTAAATTGTGTACTCTGAAACAGAAGTTTTAACAAAGTTTAAATTTTATATCTCCCTAAATACTGGTTTTAGAAGAAAATGTTAAGATACCAAAGTTGTAGGAAAACTAATCAGAAATAAATCAAAACAAATTGCAACACGAAAGTGTATATCATATTTGACTTATGATCAATTGAGTACACCCCGCAATTTCTAGGTTTGGTGGGAGGTGGGGGGAAAAGCTCAAGGGGTAGAAGTGAGTACTTTTGGGAAAATACACCTCTCATGTGGTTCCATCACATGTAAAAAATCTAGCTTTCCAACATTTAGTTGCGAAAAAGGGTGTTTATTGTTTTCATTGACTGGGCTATAATTAAGTGCCAAAACAGAACTGCCCTGAAATCTGTGACTCTAAATAATTGATTGCTTTGAAATTATACTTATTAGTGATGTGATACAAATTTAGAATGTGCTACAACAATCTTTTAACACAAATTTATGTATTCTTAGCATGCGATTGTGTATTAGATTGTGTAACATACAAGTACAATTCAAGCTGCTAACCAATACCTTCCTTCTCCAGAACCGAGATAGAAGAACTGGAACAGAGGCTTGTGAAGGAGAGAGAGCGTTACAACATAGCTTCTCTGGAAGATGGAATCGGAATTTCTACAATCCCATTTTTCAATGTCACTGATAAAGTAAGCAAAGCAATATTCTCCTTTAATTTGGGTTGTTGGGGGAATCGTATTTAGTTACTTACAAACTATTTTACAACTATACGGCATAACCTTTTGATTTAAAAGGCATGCCACAAATCAACTTAAACCAAAAAGAATTGATGCTATCATATCAAGCCACAGGTGGTGTACTGATGCCAGTTGTGTTTTGCTCATAGAATTTTAATACTTTCTTATTAAATGGCGACCATACAAAGTAGGTATTTTAATCCAAGTATGAACAGAGATGAGTGTAGGATGAGTGGCGTGATCTTGTAGTCTTTTTAGTGATTAAGGCCGACATTCCTTAGACACAGCTTCTAATTAATAGCCCATACAGCTAATGGCAGCTAAGAGACCTACAGTTTATATTGGAATCCAAACCACATTTTTGCCTTGGTATATACGAATGGTCTAATTACGGATAGTCGTAGTACTCACTCTTGCGGACGTTAATCCACACCAGGGAGTATCGCAGCCACAGTGTATGCCTATAAATATCCACAATTCGTGACCTCCTAGTAGCTGGATTACAGGACGACGCCGCCTGTCCCAGTCACACTACACACAGTTTTACCAGTCAGAAATTGCCAAGTCTTGAAAGTAATCAGGTAATGCTTAATAAAAGAGGACATAATTAAAAGAGCACTGTAAATTTGAAAAAAAAATATTTTGACCAAGTTATGGAACCTTAACGGCAACAGCCAATTCCCCTACTGAATTCTCACCACACCAACTTTGAAAGCCTATCTTTGAGGATGATTATTAAGAAGTTTCGCTCCTTGGAAAATTCAAAATATCAAAGGACAAACTAGCAGGGGTGTCGTTATAAAGGGTTATGAAATGCTAGAACTCATTTATGGGTCGTAATTACAAAGTAAAAACATCTCGTGTTTGGATTTTTAAAATTACAGATGACTCTAGTGAAGGATACAGCTGTGTATCAGCTGATGATAGAAGTGGAGACAGCAATAGACAACATTCTGCTGCAAAGTGATGTCCCACTGGACCTGCTGGATGTTGATAAGAACTCTGCCGTGCTTAGTCGAAGTGCATGTGCTCCTGGTGTAAGTACAGTACAACTGTCTAGCAAACACCTACACACTTTTGTTGTAAGGAATTTTACAATTTGTTATAGTAGATTTTACCAAGTAATAAAATTGTTGGTAAATACAATCTCGTTTTAGAGATAAGAAGATAATTCTGTCATTGCATGCAAAAGAAGATTATTACCAACTTGGAACTAATGAGGTAGCTATGATATTAGAAAAAAGAGCTAAGTTTATGTGTTTTACACAAATTCCATATGTCATCGTCACAGTGAAACAATGGTTATATCTGAATTATCGGTAACTGGTAACATAAGTCTTCAAAACATTCATCCAGATGCCTATAGACGTTTTAAACAAAGCAAACTCAGCTTAAACATCTAGTAGTAATGCTCTTACTGCAAAGTGCAAACTAAACTAATGCTGCATACCAAAGTCATTTATGCAGCTTCTCTCAAACCCAGAATGCAATCTTTATTTTTCAGTAGGATGACACTGTATCTACGTTTGTTTGACAGTCGGACAACCAGTTACTGGCGACATACCGGTGTCAGATGAACACCACGAGACTGGAGCTGTGTTTGCGTACGACTGAGGGTGTCGCTGGCACTCTGTGTGTCTACATCACTGCGGTACTTCAGCCCAAGTGTTGCCAACTGCGCAGACACCAGATCAAGCCACTCTCCCTGCATACCCGCTGCCACCAGCTGGATGTCTCTAGGTACTCATGTGACATTTAATAAGTTTACTCCTGTAAAATAACTTGTTATGTTTATGTGTGTTTTGAGTTGTTGCGTGTCAGTGGCGTAATGTCAGTGCGTATCAGTGCGACTGGAGAACTACTTCCACCCTACGTCTGCTACAAAGCAGAACGTCTGTGGGACTCGTGGGTCGTTGGGGGTCCAAATGGGACCAGATACAACCGGTTGAAGAGTGGGTGGATAGATGAGACCACATTCACCGATTGGTTTAAGCCCATCGTTTTGCCTTGGTCCCGATCCAAAGAGGGCACCAAGGTTATGATCGGTGACAACCTGTCCACCCATTTTTCACCAGAGGTAATAAACCTTTGCAGTGAAAACAACGTGTTGTTTGTTTGTCTTCCTCCTAACGCAACACATCTGTTACAACCGCTGGACGTTGCCTTTTTTAGGCCCCTGAAACATGCCTGGAGGGACATCCTTTGCAAATGGAAGCTAAATACGGATCGTCGGCTCTCCAACCTGCCAAAAAACCATTTTCCAACCCTCCTGAATGAACTGATGTGTGCTATCTCCTCAAACGCTGCGAAAAACCTTCAAGCGGGATTTAAGGCATGTGGAATTGTACCCTTAGACGCCCAAGTGGTTTTAAACAAACTTCCAACCACCACACAACCAGAAACTCCGACTAAAAAAGCCAAAAATTTGGTTGGAGAAGGGGTCATCGAATTACTCTCAAAGCTCAGATATTAAGCACCAGGCGCAGGCAGAAGAAAGGTAAAAAAAAGACTCAATGTCACACCAGGGAAAAGTGTATCCCAAGATGACGTGATTGAGAACTCAAACCCTACAACTTCTACTGACCTACCATCTGACTTGTCTCCACCCAGAAAGAGGAAGCGGAAACAGATCGAAGACGAATCGGACTTGAGCTCCAACCCTGATGACGATCTTCTTTCGCTGAAGGAATTTTCAGACGAATTTAATGAAGATCCGCCAGAGGACGACGAACATTTAGTCTTCAAAGACCCCGAAGTCGGCGATTGGCTATTAGTTAAGTTCCCCGGGAAGAAATCAGTAAAGTTTTATGTGGCCCTTGTAGAGGGTAAAGCCATGGAACTATTTGTAAGATGTGCCCGAAATGTGGGGAAAGCCAGTTTCAAGTGGCCAGATCCAGAAGACAGGTGTTTCATAGACTATGACCAGATCGAAAGAAGGCTCGAACCACCGAAATTCAACTACAAAAATGACAGGCTTGTCTCTTTTTCCTTTAAGAACTCGTTTTCTGGATATAACGTTTGTTAAAGACTTAACGTAACAACGGCTTCTACGCCATTTTGTAGGCCTAGTGTCAATTTTTCAAATGTTTGTAACAACGGCTTCTACGCCATTTTGTAGGCCTAGTGTCAATTTTTCAAATGTTTGTTTAAACTTTAAAACCATATACTGTACCCGTAATAAATAATTAATTGTTTGTTTGAACTGTTTTGTTTAATTTAATCTGTTGTCATTGACTATTACAACTCCACACGTATTTATTAATGCTTTTGGTTCCTATTTTATCTTAATCTATGCTTAAAATATCGAACCCCTAAAATGTGATGTTATTTTAGAGTTCCTTGACTAACTTACCTTACTAACAACATTTTAAACGTCATTGATATGTTAAAAGACATCAGACGACTCAAAGCACTGTCCAAAACCGGACAGGAGAGGTTAGTTTGCAGGATTTTAGCATTATTAAATACGTGTCCGACTTAACCCCGATTGGGTGGGTTGACCCGGACACTTTATTTTATTTTATATTTAATTAATGTTAACATCTAAAGAAAGATCTGGGTTAAGGAAATAATAAATGAAAGACGCTCTTCAAGATGGTAATATTTTTATTGTCGATATTCAAAACACAAAGTCACTATAACCTAAAAATAACAAAAAAGTGTCCGGGTCAAGCCTGATTTACGGTAACAGATTTGTTTGGAAAGCGTATGGTAAGTGAGAATACTGAAAGTGATGACAGTTCCATGGGTGCCGTGAACAACGAGCGCGCACCGTCAACATCGGCGCCGGTGCCGGGGGAAGTACAGATTGTCACCACCACCCAGTCACCGAGTAGGCCTACCTCCTTCACACCAACCCCCGGTACTTCGCTCATCCAGGTACCTGTTCAACCATTAGAAATTGGTGGTAAACCTTTTCCATGTCATCCTAACGGTATTGGACTGTATATAAGTAAAACACTTGGAGTTGTAGAAAAATATGAAATTTCACCAAATGTTTGGCAACCTCCTTCAATCTATACTTTCCCTATTATAGAAAAGATTTCTACAAGGAAAATTATTTTTCAATGGAAATGGATTGCAGAATTTCCGTGGCTTGCTTACTCTGAGGTGCAACAGGGGGTGTTTTGTAAATATTGTTGTTTGTTTCTAAGCACGGCGTGGAGATTAATCACCAGGAAGTAGGTGATTTTGTTAAAAAAAAATGACAACTGGAAAAAGGATAAAGAAGCATTCAAAAGCCATGAATATGCTCAATATCATAGAAGTCTTTAATGGACATTAAAAGCTTCGAAAAAGTAAAAGAAAAAGAAATCGAACCTATTAGTAACCAAATTGACCAAGCACGCAAAGACGCGGTTGCTAAAAACAGATCAAACCTGAAGGCAATCATTGACGCTGTAATTCTATGCGGTCAACAGGAACTAGCATTGCGAGGGCACCGGGACTCAGGACGTATAGATGTTGAAAATGAGTGCAGTGAATCTAATGAGGGAAACTTTAGAGCCATATTAAAGTACCGCAGTCAGGGGGACCAGGAGCTACGTCAAGAAATAGATAGTCCTGGTAAGATTAAGTATCTTTCACCTAAAGTCCAAAATGAAATAATTACATAATGAAACACAATAATGTTAAGAAAAATTGTAGATACAATAAATGATGCAACATGTATATATATATATAATGTATATATATATATAAAAAAAAAAAAAAAAAAAATGTTTTTGTAAATGAAGTTCAAAGTGTATAAATTATTGTTTTTTCTTTTATATTACTGTAAAGTGGGAATTGTTTTTGTTTTTTTTTTTTTTTTTGTTAAGGAGAAGGTATATATGCTGCCAACCAAACAGACGGTCAACATTGACCATTGTTTAGTAAGTGTTAGTTTCTTATTTTTAGCAGTACCTTATGTATTTTATTTTATGTGCAAGTTAGAGTTGTATATGTTGTACATATATGGAGGTAGACTATTATGTAATTTGTACAATAAAGCACTTTTTCATTTCATTTCATTTCATTTCAAATGATGCAACATGTTTTTCAATTTTAGCGGATGAAACCACAGAAATTTCAAATATTGAACAGCTGACGCTTTGTGTATATCATGTACAGGTAGTTAACGGAAGTCACTTAAAGAAGACTTTTTACAATTTGAATCAGTCATGTCAATGACAGGTGAGGGTCACTAATTTTGTGACTGAATTTTGCCCTTGCCAAACAAATCATTAAATGCTTACAGAGATATGGAATTGACCTACATTTTTTAAGAGGGCAAGGTTACGACGGAGCGGCCAATATGGTGACATACAATTGTGTACATAAAATAATCCAAAACGACCACCCGGCTGCATTGGACGTGTATTGTGCAGCTTACGCCCTCAATCTGGCAGTCACTAAAGCCTGTGAGGTACAGAGTATTAGAAACTGCCTTGGAACAGTGGAAAAAGTTCATACTTTCTTTAACATAAAAGGCAAGCGGTTTTATTGAACTGCATTGAAGAGTCTGGTTTGAATCCTCGAGTCAAAAGTGTAAAAAGAATATAAACGACCGGATGGACTTCTAAGTACAATTCGGTTCAAGATTTGTAGCACATTTTAGATTTTGTGATCGAGGCATTGGCCTTGTCATTGCAACTTGAACGTCAGAGCGTGCCAAGAATATTGCACAGCCTGCACTTTTATCCTTACAAGCTTCAAAATGTTCAAGCTCTAAAACCAAATGACAGTGAGATACACTTAGCTTTTTGTCAACAGCTACTGACTAAAATCAATGACGACACCAACTTCCTTGAAAACGTTTGGATGTATGACGAGGCCCACTTTCATTTAAATGAACATGTCAACAAGCAGAACATGCGTTACTGGGCTCAACAAAATCCCGCTGGACTTCATCAACACAGCCTCCAAGTTACTGCATGGTGTGCAGTGTCTTGTCGTGGTGTGATTGGACCTTACTTTTTTGAGGATGAAAATGGTTCCACTGTAACTGAATCATCTCGGCGTTACATTCAATGCTGAAGACATTTTCTGCTCCACGGCTTCATGCTTTTCCAGATATTGAAATTCAGCAAATCTGGTTTCAACAGGAGGGAGCCACCTCACACACTGCCAATCTGTCAATGGCTGCATTGAGACGTTTGTTTGGGGAGCGCATAATTTCAAGGAACGCTAACGTCGCTTAGCCCCTACGGTCCCCAGACCTCTCAGTATGCGACTTCTTTCTATGGGGACATCTAAGAAGCATTGTGTACCAGACTAGGCCAATAAATCTTATTGAGCTCAAGACTCAAGATCGAAGAACACGTCGCCAACATCCTAGAGGACACATTCCGTAACACAATGCTTAGTCTTAAAAATCGATTGAACAAATGTGTTAGGCGCAATGGACAGCACTTCTCTGATGTGATTTTTAACTTTATTCTTATTTCCAACATTTCTCATGTATTTTTCCACTCATGACCAACACATTTTCAGCATAAACATTTTTTGTATGATTTTCTTGGTTTATCATTTTTATTTATAAATTCCCCGTTTCTCTGCGCTATCCTGTAATTAGCTAGCTGTGATCGCAGTGTTTTTTTATATAATTGAGAAGAAAAAGAATCTGTTCCTTCCGTTTTTGAGTGTGAGCGAGTTGAATTCATCAGACCCTGTATGTCGACTGTGATTTCAGGTAAGAGACTTACTGTATTTCACTGAAAACAAGTTTTGCGTTAGAGATTAAGTTTGAAAACATGTGG